TTTTTTTTTTTTTTTTTTTTTTTTTTTTTTTTTTTTTTAGAAACAGAAACATTCCTTTTTACAGCACAGGCAAGTGGAAGACTCAAACTCATTAATACACATTCTAATTATCTTTGTACTGAAAGCTGAGAGGTTATTAGTCATTCTTGGCTGAGCCACACTCGGCCTACTTGCTCTTCTAAATAAAATCAAACAACAAACACCCTCAGAGTACATTATTAATCAATTAGATATAATTTCTTAGAATGGCTTTCATCATCTCATTTAACTTTGGAGATTGTAGACATTAATTAATCATAAGCTGTCAAAGGCCATCATGGATTTATACGGTACATTACTGCATTGGCCTGGGCCTGGGAGGAAAAGAAAAGTGAACTCTGGGAGAACTATGGTGGAAAACATATCAGTGAATAGAGAAAATAAGGAGGCTTAATGTAATTAGAGGGAGAATTCAGATTCATTTTATTCCAAGGTTTTGTTTCTATTTCTGATGCTCTATGTAGAAAAGGGGTTCTTAGAGTTAGAACACCATTGGGGGTGGTATAATTTCACCTGGCCCTGGGACTTGTAAGGTAAACAATTAAGTTATCGCACAGTTAAAAAGTTTAGATGACACATGGTCTGATTAACGCTAACACACACAGTTTAAGGCTAGCCAACACTGGAAAGCATCATTTCCAAGACAGTTACCAAATATATTAACCGAGTGTCACCTGTGGGAGTTGACAGAAAAGACTTCTCATGTCAAAATGTGTTCATCGGTTGTTTCCACGCTTGCCAGCTCCCTCTCACTTACATGCTGGACAGAGGCACTTTAAGAGCTGTGGGCTTGAGACTTAAGAGCTCGGAAGTACAAGACATGTCGTTCCAGCCACTTTTGGTAAACATGGCAAGAAAGTAATACGAAATCGCATTAAAAAGAAAGTAAACAGACCATTATGCCATAAACTTGTAAAAGTCACTGTTCTCTGATCTGAAAACTTCCATAGAAGAACAGAAATACAAAAGCTACTACTCATTGAGGTTAAGTGGATACTACCCGTTTCCTATGTTAAGGTAGAGTGGTTTTGCTGTTTGGCCTCGTAAAGGTTTAAACTATCGATGAGTTACATATTTTGAGTTATTGTTGGGTAGCATTTCAAAGTACTGAACTTTACGTACAGATCCAAACAGTCCGTGAAACTAACATGTCAAGTAGAACATGTTGGAAGAGTTTAGTAAAGTGTATAAAAACCAAAGACTGAGAACAAAACCGCCTTGTTTAAACTGTGTAAAAATAAATTGCATCCTTTTTTTTTTTCTTTTCAGGTTCTAAGACTTCCTCTCTCTCTCTTTCTCTCTCTCCTCAATCTTAGTTCGTTGGGACGTACTGTACTCGCCACAACACGTTGGACAATAGGTCCTGGTACACACTAAGAAACAGCCAGCCAGGTAAATACATCAACGTGATGAGGCCCATGAAGTTAAGTGGATAGTGAGAATAGTCCCAGGAACAGGCCCCGCACATGCGAAGTCCCAGACCCCAGGAAAACTCCCACGCATAGATGAAGATCACGTAGATGGGGACCCGCTTCCACGTGCCCCAGCCACGGCTGTAGTGCAGGTGGAAGTAGAGTTTCTCCACCACGAAACTACAGCTGCCGTACATGAAGAAAGACCAGAGCGAAGTGTGGCCGCTGCTAGCCCCGTCCCCCTGCCCCAGAACGTTGAAGAAGAAGGTGAAGAAGATCTCATCCAGAAAGCCATGCATTCCGAAGAAAAGGAAGCGGAGGAGGTCGGGCAGCCCCTGGCTCGGGGTTCCCTCTGTGCCCCTTGGGCCACAGGGTCCTCGTCCCTGATCGCCAGCCTCCAAAAGGATCCGGGAGTCCGGGGCTGCGGGTAGCGGGTCCCTGGTGCGCTGCTCGCGCCGCCGCGGGTACCGCAAACGCAGGAAGCGCTTCAGGAACACTTGGCCGTGGTAGAGCGCCAGCACGTACTGCAGCGCCAGGTCGAGCGCCCCCGGCGCCGCCGCGCCCCCCTGCCCGCCGCCCAGGCTCAGCAGCAGCGCCTGGCCGGCCAGGGTCTGCAGCCCCACGTGCGCGGAGGGGTAGAGCAGGAAATTGAAGAGGAAGGCGCTGGGGCAGCGCGGCCGCTGCAGGTAGAGCTGCTCCAGGGCGAAGTGGGTGAGCGAGTGCAGGAGGCAGCGGTAGGGCGAAGAGAAGCCCAGCATCCGCAGATCCAGGCTGCGGGCGAAGCGCCTGGCGGAGGACACCAGCACGTCCAGGGTGATGCCGTGCATCCCGTAGAAGTAGAGGCGCATCCAGGCGGGCAGCGCGCCGCGCTCGGCCGGAGCTTCAGGAGCGGACAGCGGCTCCGGGCAGCGGGCGGCCGCCTGGCCGCGCAGCCCGCCGGGGGGCCCGGGTGTCCGAGTCGCGCCGCCCCTTCGCGTCGGCCCCTCACTCGCCACCTCGCTGCCCGCCATGGGCTCCCCGGGCTCCCGGGGGACCCAGCGAGCGAGCCCCGCGCCGCTTCCCGGCCGCCGGCCACCCTCCCCCCCCCGGGGGGCGCGCACGCAGCTGCCTTCGGATCACGGTCTCCGGGCGCTCCGGAGACGCGCGGGTCGCCCGGGACGCGAGGAGTCCCCGTGCCGTGGCCCTGCCGCGCCCTCCTCTCCGGTGCGGGGCGAGGTGCCGCCCGCGATCACCCTGAGCGGCCTAAGGAGTGGCCCGGCCCGGCGAGGGGAGGCGATGCCCGGGCTGTGGGGAGGAGAGCCGAGGCGGGTGGCGGCCCCATCCCCTCCGCGGCTCAGCCCCGCCGCCTCTGCCGCAGGCTCCCGGAGCGTTGCGCGAGCAGAGACTGCCCTTCCCCCGGCCCTTCCCATACCCCTCTCCGCCCGGCTCGACCTCTCCCGCCTTCCAGGGCCCCCGCCCCGCCCAGCCTCCCGCGTCCGGGCTCACAGGGGTCCGCTCCGAAAGGCCCGGCGCGCCGCCGAGTCCCCTCTGGCCGTCTCCGCAGCCACGGACCAGCGCTGCGGGGGGCTCCCGCTGGGTCGGCGACGGGATTGGAGAACCCCCTAACAGGTGTGAAGGCGAACCGTGGGGCATTCCCGGTACCGTGGAAGCCAGGGCCAGGCCTTGGCTGGCGGAGACAAATGGCTCCGTGCCACTAGCTGGAGGCCGGGCCCGGGACCAAACTATGGTCCTGTATATTTAATGTCCTTATGCAGAGCCAGCTGCGTCCCAGCCACAGAGTGTGAATCTGAGACTCCACGCCTTCCTGCCTCCCTGCCCAGAGCAGTCTGCGTCTGAAGGCTGCCCCCGGCCTGATCCTCTTTTTCGGTCTTTGCCTAGGCTAGTTTACTCTGAGGCCGGTGTGGCTGAGTAGTGAGTGCCCTGGCTACAGTGGGATGGGAGAGTCCCCTCCTGAAGACAGGATGCTTGCTGCTGCTGCTGGCACAGAGCCTTGCAAGGGTTCTTCTTGCCGAACTAGGTCATCTCAGAAATATAGAGTGAAATAGAGCGCCAAGCTTTTTTCTTTTTCTGTCTTTTCTTTTTCTACTACCCCCCCCCCCCGCGCCTTTCTCTTTTCCTTCCTAGTTCCCTTCCCTGTTTTCTCTCCATTTTCTCTCCTCCTCCCTCCTTCCCTCTCTGTCCTTTCTCAGGTAGAGGAGATGGATGGATCTTGGAAATAAGTTATACCATTAACGACCTCCCCACCCACCCATTCAACAATTTTTACTGTATCCGGAGTTCAGCTCTTTCTCAGGTAAAAAGCTATATGGAGATCTCTCTCTTCTGGAGAACACACATTCTCTGTAGATCTTCCATTTCTGATGCAACCCTGTTCCTGTCCTTTCCCCATACTCATTTCACCCATTTCAGCTACTGTCTGTGGCAGTCATGTTGCCTGCGAGTTAGCCGAGAGAGTAAGATGAGATCACACAGTGTTCTAGAGATGTTAATCAGCACCTCTGTGGAGTCAAAGCGAGGTGTTTTCTCCCGGCTTTGCTAGCAACTGGTTTCTCCTGCTGGCTTTGAAGTTGTCACACCAATGACAAGTGTCAGGTAGCAGACTCAAAGCTGCTGTGAGGCAGGCCCCAAAACCCAGACATCCAGAGGAAAAATACAGCGAGATGCTCTCTCAGTGTCTGTCTCTCTGTCTTTATCTGTGTGTGTGTGTGTGTGTGTACAATTTTTTTGAGACAGGGGTTCTCTGTGCATCCCTGGCTGTCCTGGAACTTACTTTGCAGACCAGATTGGCCTCGAACTCACAAAGATACGACTGCCTCTGCCTCCCCAGTACTGGGATTAAATGCCTTTGCCACTGCCACCACCTGGTTTTTGTTTTGGTTTGTTTTTTTTGTTTTTGTTTTAATGTGCATTGACATTCTGTCTGCATGTATGTTACTTTCTCTTTAAAAGATGCACAATGTGGTTGGTATGATAGAAGGCAACCTGCCAGGCTTGATGGTACACACATGTAATTCCAGAACCCAGGGAGCCGAGGGTGTTCACATCAGCTTCCACTATCCAGCAAGAGCCCCTTCCCCTGAAAAGTTAAAACAGAACACAGCAAAGGAAAAACACTGAAGGGATACAAAACAATCTGTTACACTTTTTATAAACATTAGTAATAAATATCGTGATTGGCTAGTAGTCCATGTAAAGATAAAATTGCTTTTGGCTTACTTCGTTTTACCTCCAAACAACTGCACCTTAACTCCAAACCCAGTATTGCTATTCAGCCCGGAGAAAGCTTTACGTCATAAGTATAGTATAAATCCAGCCATTCAGGCATGGTAGGTTAAATTTAGATTGCTTTTAAATAGTAAATTAAACTTCAACGGTATATGTCTTCTGATCTTACTTTTCCCAAGAATGCCAGGGAAACTTGCAGAGTATGTAGGGAAGTCTCTTGTAGTAAGAAACTGAGCTTCTAAGTGTGTGTATATATTTTAGAGACAAGGGTATGACTTTGGCCTTGCAATCCTGAGTCCGCCTCCTGAAAGCTGAGATTATAGTTATGTGCCAGGACTCCTCTCTTTAATATTTTGATTCTATCACATAAAAAATTTCCACTTTTGTATGTGTTCAGTAAAGTACAGCATAATAAGATGCATGTAAACTTGACATGTATATGTGTGTGCACAGTTTATACTAGATTTTTAATGGAAGGTGTATAGTCAAAAGTTGTGAGCCCGCTATTGTCAAGTAGTGTGACTTCTGGAAATCTCATTATTCTGGGCCTCATTCTGAAATTTTTCTGGCTTCCTTAAAGTGATACAGCACACACATAAGTGCAGCTATGATCTCTTTCTCCCCATGTTTCTTTATATTTTCTTTGTGGTCTCCATTATAATACCTTAGAATTCGGGAGAAACTTTACAACAAAACAAAAAAGCCAATAAGTATGAAAAATGGTGCAAAATTAAAAAAAAAAAACTATGTGTACTGATTTCAGTTTTTTTTTTTCTTTCTTTAAATTTAGGATCTTCTCTAAAAAATAAGTTGTGAAGAATTAGCTAAGGGTATTATTCCATTTAAACAGAATATGTGGGGCTGGGCAACTTTTAAAGGAAAGAAGCTTATGTAATTCTCAAGTCTGGAGGTGCAAGAGCCTGGCCGTGGAATTTCCTGGATTCTCTCCGTGCTTCATGGCAGATAGCACCTCAGCGGCGGGTGCTCATAAGAGACAATATGGTGAGATAGGAAGTCCAGAGGGATTGATGGGGATGGATGAGTCAGGCTTTCTTGCAATGATTGCCCTTAAGGAAAACTCGCTGTAGACGAGCAGCACTAGTGGCTCCTGAGGGCCTCCCGACGACCTGTTCAACTTTCAGTTCCCATTTCTCGCCAGTTTCATCACACTCAGGGTAGAGTCCCTAAATGTGAGCCGCTGGCCACCGCAGTACTGAAGTCAACTTCTGCTTCTGCCCTATCTTCTTCTTTTGTTGTAGTCATCTCACAGCTATATTTGCAAAACATTACTCCCTGTTTTAAAACTACAGAATGGATTTAATTATCTGTGATAATTTTATAATTAAAGTTCTCATGTCACTGCCTCCATGAAGATAAAGCCGTGTGTGTGTGTGTGTGTGTGTGTGTGTGTGTGTTGGCCTTTCCTCCTGCCAGAATCCAAAGCTGCCAAAATAAATTTGTAAATCCAACATGTTCATAAGAGACTGTTATAAGTAGAATGCAATAGAAGAATCAGAAAACTAGAATGAAATAGCATCGGCTTGAGATTGCTTGGCTTTAGGAGCAGCTTCTCAAAGAATGCTTCAAGGGGCCCACATCATGGGAAGAAGCCCAGATACTGCCTGGATGGCCAGGAGGAACCAGAGATTGGTTAGGCCAGAGACCTAGAGTACCAGCAAACACAATGGGTCTTAAAAATTAATGAAATGATTCTGAATGGTATTCTGCTTGAATCACAGATCTATGCCTTGTTCAGAGAAGGCTTCCTCATTAGAGAGGCCTCTTCCCAGCAGCAGATGGGAGCAGATGTGGAGACCCACAGCCACACATTCTGTGGAGAGGTCTAAATTGGAGGTCTCCATCGGGTCCCTCCAGCTCATGGAATGTGCAGGAATAGAAGTAGAGTCAGAGGGCATGGGGGACAGCAGGAGAACACTACCCACTGAATCACATGGGCACACATGGGCTCACAGGGGCTAAAGCAACAAGCACAGGGCCTTCATGGGCTTATGCTGTGGCTGTTAGCTTGGCGTTTTTGTGGTACTCCTTCCTGTGGGAGTGGGCATGTCTCTGACTCCGTTGCCTGCTCTTGGGACTCTTGTTCTCCAGTTTGGTTGTCTTGTCCAGCTTTGCTGTGAGGGCTTTTGCCTTGTATTTGGCTTTGTCATGTTTGCTTCTTGTATCTAGGAGACCTGCTCTCTTCTAAAGGGAGACAAAGGAGGAGTGGATCTGGGGGTAGGGTGGATGGGGGAGCTGGAAGGATTGGAGGGAGGGAAAACTGTGGTCAGGATGTATTGTATTAGAGAGGAATCTATTGTCAATCACAATAAAAGAATGCTTCAAGGCATTGCTTTTTGGTAGAAGGTGCTGGCTTTTTTTTTCTTTTTCTTTGACTTCAAGGTTAAGAAAGTATCTGAGCAAACACATCAGCACAGGTCGTCTAATAGTTTATGTGGGGCCAATAGGTTGGGTGGAATTGGCTATAAACTAATTCAAACCCTACTACTTTAGTCAGTGTGACCAGAAAGTGAGTGAGGATGAATGGAAGGCCCAGGTACTTCAGAGGACTGTGATCTTTGGTGACTTGCTACCTAGTGGCTACAGGTTCAAGGCAGTTGTGGCCTTTCAGATCACCACAGGTATGGGTAAGACTTCAGTGTATCCTGGAAGATCCGAAGGAAAGTGCCTGGAAAAGAGAGCTAAAGAAAGTCCAAAGGAAGTGGAATAGGCTAAAGTCCAAAGGAAGTGGAACAGGCTAAGACACACTGAAGTACAGCTGCCTCTCTCTACAGCTATAGGCTTCCTCTCCATAGTAAATTGTAACATAACCTGACCTATAAGTATGTTGCAAATTGCTTGTAACAAGTAGCTGAGACTCAGTCAAGATGTGAGCCACACTCAGCCTCCTGACTTTGATTGTATTTCTCCTCCTCCTGCTCTTCCTTCTCCCCCTCATCCTCTTCTTCTTCTTTAATGTGCTGGGGATACAATCAGGGCCTTAAGCATACTGGGCAAGCATGATCACCGAGTCACATCCCAGACTTATGGTTCCATTTTTTTTTTAAAATCTTTTATTTATTTTTTATTAATTACACTTTATTCATTTTGTATCCCCCCATAAGCCCCTTCCTCCTCCCCTGCCGATCCCACCCTCCCTCCCCTTTCTGCATGCATGCCACTCCCCAAGTCCACTGATAGGGGAGGTCCTCCTCTCCTTCTTTCTGATCTTAGTCTATCAGTTCTCATCAAAAGTGGCTGCATTGTCCTCTACTGTGGCCTGGTAAGGCTGCTCCCCCCTCAGGGGGAAGTGATCAACGAGCAGGCCAATCAGATTATGTCAGAGGCAGTCCCTCTTCCCATTACTATGTAACCCACTTAT